AGAAAAAAAAAAGGAAAGGAAAGAAAAAAGAAAAAAAAAAGAAATTTTTATTTATTAAATTATATTTTTGGTGTCAAGTCACAATATTTTGAAGTTCGAGATAAATTTAGTTTAAAAATGAAAGTTAAGGGACTGAATCGAGGATTTAACTTTTTTTTTTAAAACCTTTAATGAGCAGTGGGGCCTACAAAAAAATTGGCAGCAAGTAGACTTCCCGCTTGTGGGGTTCCAAGTTGGCATGCCAGATTGTCAAAAAATTCTGAGTTGGCGCTGACATGTGCATACTTGACGGAGGCCAACGGTGCACGTGCTACACGTGACGTTCTGGCGTTAAATTTTGCCTCATTTCCTTAACTCGAAAACGTTGAGGGTAAAAATCCATATATTGTAATATGGAGGGTAAAAACCCTAAAAGTCGAAAAGTTAAGGGGCAAAAGGGTACCTTTTGCCGAGGATAAGGTAGCTTACTCGAAATTTATGGTGTTATCTATTTACTTTACTCGAAATGTTGCAGACTTGCAGTGTTATTATACAGTGTGTTTGTTAAACACTATGGTTTGACTTCTGCTATTGTTATTTTTGCATGAATAAATGTTGTGGGGTTTTGTTGTGAGAGCAAATGTGACTGTCTGTTTAATAATGTCTTAGTGCATTCTTTTACTCAGCATAATCTATCTGATAATAACCGAATAAGATGAAGCAGTACTTACTTTCGGCTAGGCAGTGGCCTTTTAGCTTGGTATCAAAAGGAATTGCATTGACAATTCAAATTACCTCAACCCCCACCCTCCTAGAATGAAACACTTGGCGAGGCCATAAAATAAAATAAAATAAAAAATAACAGAAACAAAAATAGAACTAGAGGACTATCACTCTCCCTGCCTATAGTACAGGTTCATTTTAGTATGATTTTGGTTTTTTATTTTTATTTTATATATAGTAACTAATATTATATTTAGATTAAAATTAATAAATTCTAATTTTTATAATAAATTTTTATTTTTAAATATAGTAACTAATATTATATTTAGATTAAAATTAATAAATTCTAATTTTTATAATAAAATTTTATTTTTAAATATAGTAATATTTACCAAATATATAAAAAAATGAAAACCAAAAATTAAGTGGAGCCTAAAAATTTGAACTTGCAGAATGGAAGGAGAGAACCAAAAGAATAAGAGGAAAGAGAAAAATGGCAGAATCTGTTCCTGAATTATCAAAAACATATTTCTATAAAGATTCCTGTTTTCCAATAAATTTTACAAGCATAAAATTACAAAAATGGGTGTCATAAATGAACAGACTCAGCCTCTTCCTATATTGTAACATTTAAAGGTTTCAGAAATAACTCAATAGGGCTTGAACTTCCTAGCTGCCCTCAATTGCTGAATCCGCTTTCTATCCTGCTCAAATTTGCTCTGGAGCATCAACAGTTCTGCAAGGAAATATTTATGGCATCAAGGCACTGCTTCAGAGTACAAATCCTTTAATAAAGAAATTTGTCTAATAAGACATGGCAGGAAAAGATCCGTTGTAAGAAAGAAACGCAACTTTAGACATACAACCATATATATGCATAAGTGCAAACTCTTCAAACAACATGTCAAACATGTCTTGACGGTGCATTCGTATGTACGTGTAACTTCTTTGCAGCTACTTGGAACCTAAAATAGCTAACATGTGACATAACATAATTTTATTACCAAAAAGAAGACATAATATAATCTACTCTAAACACACAGTGTTAACCAAGAGGTTAGAAATGAATAAACACTTGCATTGAGTACATATGAACTTGGCTTATCCTTGTACATATACCTCATAGACAAGCAAAGACCTATTAAATTTAATTATAAGTTTATTTTTAAATTTGTGGTTCAGAAGAAACAATCTTGATATTATCTAAGAATAGAGAAATATTAATAACTCAACATGAGCTATGAGGTTCCTCATACCATTTCTCTTGGCCTCTCTTTTCTGAAACCGGTAGAAATCACCAAGTTCTTTTTGCTTCTTCTTGGCCATCTTATCTTCTACAGCTGCCTGCGCAACAGAGCCCACAGTAATTCCACTTTCAGCATCTGTGGTCTTTTTCCTTCCTTTATGATGCACAACAACTGTCCATCCCCCTTCTGCAAGTTGAGCTTCTCTTTCTTTTCTTTCCTGTATTGCAATGAAAAACATACCGTCAAAGGGCCAGCTGCAGGTTTGGTACAAAAAAGAAAAAAAGAAAAAAAGAAAAAAAGATAAAGGTGCAATAAACATGTAAACAAGAATATATTTTCAAGAACCAGTAATATCTCCTATGTAGTTATGTATTAAAGTTCAGAATTTTCAACCCAAAAGTGCGAACTCATGGCACAACGCTTATAAACATGTGGATGTATACATCTCATCTACTTGACCATAAGTTGAGAACATAGAACAAAAGAAAAGGCAAACACAGAAAACACCAAGGTCCCAGCTATGATTCTATTACAGTAACCAGAGGAGGTGGTGGAGAGAAACATACCTGTTCAAGTTTTTCCTCATGAGCAGTTATAAAGTCATCAATTCTTTGCTGCAACACATTCAACCCCGGCCTCCTCTGATGGTACTCTGTAATCCATTCTGTAGTTCAACAATTTTCTCAATAAGAACTAAGAATGATGCAAATACTCAATCAAGTGCCATTGATGAAACATAAGCTTGAACTAAAACCCAAAAGAAAAAATGATTATAGGAACTTCAATGAAGTTAAAAGATGCATACTTTTCATTCCTTTTGAGCGGTCATCATCCCCTGAAGAGATTTGATATACTTCGTCTTGGCCGGAAGCTCGGTTCTTTTCTATTGAATTTCCACCTTCATTGGTTGAGCTGGAGACCCTCTTCTTCCTTTTCTTGTCTTTCTTAGGCTTTCCTGCAAATTTTCAATATATATATATATGTATATTCACGTTTCGATATTGAAGAAATAATGCACAGAACAAACAAAATCACTAGCTTGTTTACCAGCTTTGGTGATCGGACCCGCCATTCTTCCGAAGATACCAGCTTCGACCACCCAAGACTCAGGATGCGTAACACCTCTTCACAGCACGAACGTCGCAGGCCGCGTTGCCGCCGATAAATGGTGGCTCAGACCAGGATTCGCGGCGGGAGGGGCGGTTAGAAGGAAGAGAAGAGGAAGTCGGAAGCGCCAGGAGAGTGCGGGTTTCTACTTTCGACACTGCAAACACCGGAGGTAGGTTTTATTCGACTTCATTTCAAAACCCAGAATATGGCCGAAAACATTTTTAAAGCCCAAAACAAAATTGTTGGGTTTAGGCCTAACCCACTTCATTTTTTTAATGGAACCTTGTTTTAGGTAGGGGTAGCATGAGATATATTCGTATTTTATCTAAATAATAAAACAAATTTGATAAGTAATGAGTATAAAAATAATATATTTATAAATATCAAATAAAATAATAAATATAAGGATTCAAAATTGAACTATTTTATTTGATTGATTTGTTATTTGTACTTATATAATTAAAATTTTATATATACTTATTATACTTAATATCTATATAAAAATAATATTTTTTAAAATAAAAATGATTAAAAAAATACAAAAATTACACCCACAACTTATACATAACAAATCTTAAATCAAACATATATCATATCCATAGCCAACAACTTTTTTCTTCTTTGCACTTGTAGGCAATGGTAAGTATATACAACTTCAAAATTTAATTCTTTTTAATTTTCATTTTACTTTTCTATTAATGATTTTTCGAGGCATATACTTTGTTTATTGTATAGATGATTTTTTACTTTTAAACTCTAAATTTAATATTAAAAGAATCATAAAGTCAATAGTATGAATATCAATATGTTAAAATAAATAGGTTAAATACCCTTTTTGAGTCCTCTACTATAGAAAAAAGTCCCTTTTTAGTCCATGTACTAAAAAATCCCCTTTTTAGTCCTTACCGTTTGAAATCCAACCCTTTTTTAATCCAACCCTTTTTTAATCCATCCGTTAAATTTTGGCTAATGTAGCAAGTTAATTAACTGAAAAACTTATTTTTTTTTCTTTACTTAAATTACATGAAAAATCCATATGTAAAAATTAATAACATGGCAAAATTTTTTCTCTAATATAACCTAAACAATCATTTAATTACATAATTACCATTATAAATATTTTAAAGGTTATTTTGTGAGACTTTAATTACTAATTTACCCTTATCTTCTTTCCCCTTTTGTCTCATCCTCTCTTTCCTTTGGCTTCCTTTTTTTTTTTGTTTTTTTCCAACTTCGCCTTCTAAAAATCAGATCTTAAGTTCGCGACGAACTCAGGAGCATGGGTTCCCTGTGAACCCAGGCGCATGTTGTTGTGTTGCTATGGACAGGTTCGTCACTAACCAAGGTGCCTGCGTTTCTCGCGTGTTTGGGTTGCTATCAATTTTTTTGTTTAGATCTGTGATTATGTGAAATTGTCTATGAAAACCCAAATTTGTGTTGCTATGTTACTATCATTTTCTTGTTTAGATCTTTGACCATGTGAAATTCTCCGCAAAAACTCAGATTTATGTTGCTATGTTGCTATCATTTTTTTGTTTAGATCTTTTGATTATGTGAAATTGTTGATCTAGTGTCTATTTTTTCTTGATTTGGGATGTTTTGGGATGTCTGCATGGGAAAAGATTGAACGATGAACAATGAGGGTTAAGGGTAATTTTAAAATTTTAGTTTTTATAAATTACAGATTAATGTGGAATGCCACATCATATTTTTTTATTTTTATATTTTCCATATCATTTATACAAAGAAAATAAATTAGACAATTTTGTTAATTAATTTGCCATATTAGCCAAAACTTAACGGAGGGACTAAAAAGGGATTGGATTTCAAATAGTAAGGACCAAAAAGGAGATTTTTTCAGTATAGAGACTAAAAATGGACTTTTTCCTATAATAGAGGGATCAAAAATGATATTTAACCAAATAAATACAATAGGCATTAATCACTATCGTTTTTAATAAATAGAAGTAGAGGATTAGAGAAACTATAGGTCCAGAAATTTGGACAGTTTCTTTGAAAGACTTTCATTCTATTATTTAATCTATTTTTATTTTTTATTTTTTGAGTACATATTTTTTGTTCTTTATTGTTATTTAATTAACTAAATTTAGTTTTTTATGATATATAGATTTGAGTTTTGGATATGAAATTATATTCTAATTCTCTATTATTATCTTAGATTATATTTAAATTTAGATTGTAATAAATAATATTTTATTAAATTTTAATTTGAAAGAAAATTTAAATCAAAATATCATTTAATAAGTACATAAACATATATTCACAAATTACTTAATACTTATTAAGTTAAATACTACTTTAAGTATTTAAATAAGTACTAATTTTAAAAAATTATATAAAAAAATTTTAAATTAAATACCAAATATAACTCATACATCAACTAAAACAAAAAATGCTCACCCATTTTTACTTTTAAGAGATCCATTTTTTACTTATTCACCGGTTCCGGGTATGTGATTTTCGACTTCTGTTTCGGAGGCTGAAGTTGAAAATAACTTTTGAATTTGTTTTTTTTTTTTTCCCCTTTTTACCATCTTGTCAACAAATGTTCTTTTAAGTTGGGTGCTGACAGGCATTCAATATATTTACATAATTTTTATATATAATTTTTATATATTATTAAATAATTAAATATATATAATAAAGAATTAATCTTTAATAATATATTTAGCTCAAAAAAAATAATAAAAAAGAGAAAAAATGAAAATTTTTTTAATTGATTAAATTATTACATTTTAAAATATTATAATTTAATTGACAAAAAAATTTTCACTCTCTTTTATTTTTCTCTACCAAATATATAATAAATAACTTATAAAATTATATTAAAAAATTACACACAAAAACCATTCCTAAATTATTTTCTTTTTAGGAGATAATAAAATGGATATGGAGATAATAAAATGAAATGCCGCATCATGTTAGGCTCCACGGTGGGCTCTACGAAGCAAGACTTAATTAAGTTTGGACCGAAAGCTAACGTGTTGACTGTTAAATTAAAAAAATAGAGGAAGAGATAATTTAGCAATAATTTTTTATTATTTTTTATATATTTAAAATTATTATTATTAAGTATATTTATTTATTTAATAATATATATAAATTATATTATAAAATTATCCTACGTCCCTTTCGTTTTTAAAAATATTAAAAAGAAATGCTGCATCCTGTCTAGCTCAACAATGGGCTCTACAAAACAAGACTTGGCCAAGTTTGGACCGAAAGTTAACGCGTTGACTGTTAATAAGGAGTTAAGAGGATGTTTATGAAGAGTTTAAA